TAACTTGAAGGTACCACTCCCTTAGTGCATACATGGGGGATGATGACATGTTCAGCTCAGATCTCAGTGAAGACCAATTGAAAGCGAGACTTGGTCACATGTCAAATACTCCTTGCCAGGTAGAGCATTACTCTATTTTTCTTGTTTCTAATCATATGAGTTGCAATTACTGCTGTAATGTATGTATTATTTGGAGTTAAAATGATGCAAAATGTACTAAATATGAATGGGGTGCTATTTTTAATCTTCCATCCTAGTGTCTTTTTTCATTTACCACAAAAGAGCTTATTTAGTTATTGAAAAATGTGTTGCAAGATGGCTGTTTTGCCTAAGGATCTCCAACACTGTCCCCAGTGAAAATCAAAACATGCACCTACAAGCTCATAGGCGTGCATGATCAGATCTCAACCACCATTCACTCATATCACCCTTTCTGAAAACTACCACCTCAACTTTCTGAATACCATCAACATGGAGACTCCTCTTATATTAGATGAAGTTTGGGTGTTCTGTTATATTATTTGCACCTGCTTAAACTGTAGAACTGACTAGGTAGGGCTCCGTTCTAGAGAGTGCCATAAAAGAGCTTCATAGAAGCACAAGTTAAACAGTGTGTGAACTAGGCTATTCCCTGCTCATAGTTGCCTTTCTGAATTTTATGGCAAGCGCTATTATTATTTTTCTTTCTATAATATTGATCTGTGCATAAGCTTTAAATATATTGAGTAGCAAATCCATGTTATATCAAGCTGCAAAGCAAAGACATCATCTGCACACTCTCTCAAAGTTGCTAAGAAAACAAACAAATTTGATAGTAATCGTCTCCTTGGCGCCACGTTTTTATGCATTTGTTTTCCCCTTCGGAAATCTCTGTATCTTTATACGACGGAACATGTTTTAGGCACGTCAAGCAACTTCATAACTAAAATAGTAGAATCCAAAAAAGCGAGGTTTGTGACTATTCTCACCCAACGAATGCCGGACTAGGTTCTCTAGAGGTCTCAAAATATATATCCCAAGCAGTTGTATGTCCTGTTTCCTGCTCATATGAATTTTCTGTGTACGGTCTCAGGTTATTTTCTCAATGGCTGATGAATATGTTCCAGATTATGTTGATAAAAAAGCTTTAGTGGAAAGGCAAGGATTTCTCTGGGACACACAACTATGAACTGTAGTGTTCGCTTTTTCTTCCCCAAGGCAAATAAAAAAAATATTTTCTGCAAATTTTTTCTTTGCATGCAGGCTTTGTAGGGCTATGGGAGGTGCAGAGAAGGTTGAGATAGAATGGGGAAACCATTCTCTCTCAAACAGGGTTCATGAAGCTGTAGCGGCTATCCTCGACTTTGTTAGAAGAGAAGGACCCAGGGGGTGGGATGACCCCTGGAGTTAGTTTAAAAAGTCGATTCATATCATACATCAATATTTGTAGATTTTCTTAATTTATCATGTATTTTATGATTCATTTGTATGATACATTGGGAAATATACTTAGTCAGTGTTACCTTTTTCCTCGCCAATGCAATTTCCTTACTATTGACCACAGTATATTCTGATTCATTTGACTGTATTTTGCACTAAAATGCGGTGGCATTCTTCATTCTAAGATTCAGGTCTCTGTCATGGCAAGAGTTTGCAAAAGTTATGGCAAGAGTTTGCCAAAGTAAAAAAAATATGGAATGTTGTTTAAAAGTTGGAAGAATCTCAATGGTGATGTTACTTAAGGGATCCTGGGCCGCAAATATTTTTGTATTATCATTTTTTATTTTTATTATTTATTTATTTATTTTGTATGCAACTCCATTAGCATGTTTTGGGTGGATATTGTGGTTATCAAACATATTGGGAAATTTTTTCACGGATACTACCTTTAAAAATATAGTGACTACATGAGAACCACCTTTAAAGTTCTATCGAATATGAAAAATTATGAGATCTTGGGATTCATTGGTTCATGCAAAACGTATTTGCTTGAAGTATTTGGTAAAGAAATTATCAAATAATCAAATTATATTATATTATTACAGCTGCCAGGTGCATTAGTATACTATTAAATATGCAACTTCTTTGAGAAAAAGTACACATGCATCTATATTGGTGTATGGTCCTCCTTGGATTCTATTGTGTTGTGACTCAAATATTCGCCCGAAGTTGATCATAAGTCTTTGATTTGATGCAGGGGATGTTCAATGTAAGAGACAAGGGCAACAAGTTTAAGTTTGTAATTCTTATCCTAATAAGGATTGATATGGAACAGCCAATCAAATTGGAGTTAACAATGCATTAGGAGTCATTTGTTTCAGTAGGCATAGCCCTGTCCAACCGGCCGGGGTTCGGGCCGGGCAAAACCCGTGACACGGACCCACACGGACCCAGGCCTAGTTAGCTCGGGCCGGGACCGATCAGGTAGGGCACCGGGCCGGTCCGATTGTTTTCTTTTTTTTTAGTAAAAAAATTACTAAAAATTAGATTAATTTTATTATATTTATATAAGTATGTATTAGTATATACTTACATATCATTATATAGCTATCTATTATATATACATATATTATATGTAATATATTGTATATACTTATAAGTTATAAATTAAGGAGAGAGAATTCACATAAAGTATATATATATATATATATATATAATATATATATATATAATAGTATATTATATATATATATATAGTATAATATATATATCATATATAGTACTATATTAAACTATATAACATTTGCTCTATTTAAGTATAATTAATAACAGTTTAACTTATATGATTATACTTTTATATATACTTAGATGCAATAATACTTATATACTAATTATACTTATGGACTTACAGCCATATAAAGTATAGTCTTATAACTTACATTATACAATTATATATATAATATTTTATATATATGTATCATATATCCTATACTATACAACTACTATCTATATATAGATATACAAGTTATAATATTTGAGATAGTAATTAGCTATATAATATATACTATGCAATATATATATATATATAGATAATATACTTGAGTAAATGTAATATAAGTATAGCAATACCTATTAGTGATATATATACTATATATATATATATATATATATATACCTATAATATACTATATATATATATATATAAAATGAGAAAATTTGTAAGAACTAATATTTTTAATACATGAGAAATAGAGGGATAGGTTTCCAATACATGAGAAAATTTGTAAGAACTAATATTTTTAGGATATGATGCATGACCAAATTTTTATGATAATCCCAGTCAACTTTGAAAATTAGAGAAATCCCTTTCCCCCCTAAACTATAGGGTGTTGGCCTTCTTGTTTTGATGATGTTTAACAAATAATTTATCACTAATGTTGTTTGTCAAGTATTTATGTTTTCTTATTCATTGTAGACAAACAACATGTTGGATGATGGATGGAATAGAGCTTTAACGATCATATTCAAAGGAGGTTGGCGGAATGTCGGTGAAGCTTATGCAATTCTAGTTCAATATCCAAGTTCAGCTTCATCCGCATGTGTACCAAGTCGATCTTATTGAAGATCAAGATCTAGCTTGGGTAATTTAGTTTAGGTTTTATATTATGTGTGTTAAGTACCTTAAGCTCAATATCATACACACACACACGTATTTGTTATATACATGCATGGTTTTGGGTTTTCATGTTTATAAATATGAAATTACATATTTCATATTTATTATTGCGATTTGGTTTAACTACTTAGTGTTGGCCTTCTTGTTTTGATGATGATTTACAAACAATTTACTACTAATGTTGTTTGTCTATATAGTTAACTAATTAACCAAGTTAATCCTAGCAAGTGTGAAATATAACAAGATACTGGTACAGCTAGGTGTAAACGAATATGAACCAAATTGAGAGTATTCGCTATATATGATAGAATATATATCATATAATATATATATATATATATATATATATATATATATATATATATATATATATATATATATATATATATATATATATATATATATATATATATATATATATAATATATATGATATAATATATATATATCATATATATATATATATATATATATATATATATATATTATATTATAACAATATATCAAGGCATATACTTAAACTAACACAAGGGTAAATAATGCTAAACAGATAGTGATGAAATAGATAATGAGCTAATGCGAATGGCGATATAAGATATAACATAAATATTGATATGAACGCCAAAAGCCACACTCAATACTAAGCCAATAATGATCACTGGAGTTCGGATCGTCTTCGTCCTACGTTCTCACCGCGCTCCCCACTCCCGGGTTGAGAAATCCACTATCAACGGGTTTTCTACGGTTTCATACCGATACGTTTAGCACCTCACAGTATCGTTTTCAAACGTGCAACCCGATCCAAGTCACTCCTCACAACTCGGTTTCTAGCTCACGCGAAAACCTCACTACACACTCGGTTTCTATCTCACCGAAGAACGCTCACTGCAACACTCGGTTTTCTAGCTCACGAAAAACCTTATACACTTAACACTCACAATTGTAACAAATATATAATTTGTCTCTCTACAATAGATGAGAACACAATGAAATCACAGGGCAGAGTCAAAGTTACAAAAAATCTCTCACCACCCAACTATACTATGCTAGAAAAGATACAATAAGTCAATGTGTGTGTGTGTAACAATGAGTAAAATAAGATCAAAATCACATAAACTCAAATATTAAATCTAGCTTAAAGACAAGTGCATAATCAATCAATATATAAATGTAAAGCTAGAGTTTGAGTTTAGAAAACTTCTCAATATTGAATAACAAGACGATGGAGGATTGATAGTTGGAAGCTCCAAACTTCTAATAGATAATCTCCTCAAGGCTCTTGTGGAAATTTTGATTTCACCAAACAAACCTCTCATTGCTTAAAAGCTTATTTAAACACACTTAAGACCAAACCTAAAACCCTTGTTAAAAAACTTTATTAAACTTGATTAAAAACTCTCTTGGTTAAGTTGCAAAACATCAGCACAATGGGTATTATATACCCACTCAAAGCTCAAGGGCCAAAACAGCCCCAAAACGAAATGACCAAAAAACCCCACCAACAGCTCAGAGAAAAGAGCCGTTAAAAGCAGCAACGGGCTTATATTGATCGGTCGAAGGCCGAAAATTTTCGTTCGTGATCGACGCGATGGAAAAATTCGTCGACCGATGGAAAAGTTCGTCGGTCCTGCACCGTTATCCTTTCAGGGTCGAGGATAACTAGGAACCAAGCAACACTTATCCGGTCGAACCGGTGGCCGGCTCGACGATGGAGAACTTTTCGGTCGACCGGAGTGCGGACTTCGACCGACGACATCTCTGCGGAAACTGCTGAGAAATGGTCAATGAGCGGTCGACCGTACCGGTCGATGTGCATTGGCGAAAAACTGACATTTCAGGAAACGAACGCTGATTTAAAACACTGTTTAAAAATATCAATAAATTTCCAAAAGAAAAAAAATGTAAAACTTTGTGGGAATCATTGTAGACATGATTTAATAAACATTTCCTACCAATGACTGGTTTACGAAAAAGGACTTCCACACATGAAAAATATCGATCAATTTTACAAAATAGTCCAAACATGAAAACAATTTGAAAATTGATAATTTTGATAAAATTTTGACTAAACAACTTTTAAAAGACTTTGTTGAAGATGTTTTGTTGTGACTTCCAGTAAAACATGTATATAATCTGATATTGAAGTCTATAAACTATTAGAATATAACCAAGATATTTTCACAAAATTATGCATATTCTATGCAATGTTTTCAAAACATAATAGGAAATGATAAAATATAGAATTTCATATATAGTA